TCGCTTGACTTTCCGACATATCGCCAAAGTGTGAAAAGTGCTAACCATTTCGCAATGGTGTGTTCTGTCACGTTCTCCGTGACGTGATCTTTGATGTAAAGTGGAAAATATTTTAGTATTCATTTTTAAATCGGCGACAAATTAAAAACATGATATTTTCTTAAACATCATATGACGTTATTATTACATCAACATATGTTGATGTAATTTGATATTTTAAAGTCGGATGTGATGTCATTTGCTGATGTCATCCATGTCTCGGAAGGGAGGAAATATTCATACGATAATATACATATGTAGAATATTTAATCTTTCATCTTGTGTATTAAGGTTCTTGATATTTCAGTGTAGATGTTGAGACATATTGACAAGATATGATGATCTGTTCTATTCTACTTGAAATTTTTGAATACGATTCTTTGTACAACAATATTCTTTGAAATTCTTTTAATATTTATATATACGATATCCTTTTTTTTTTTCATCTTTTAGACGTGTGATTATTCAAATATATATTTGAAGTATGGACTGAAATTTGCTTTAGTTCTTGTTGAATCGAAGTTTGCTTGATATTTCAATGTAGATGTTGAGACATGTTGACAAGATATGATGATCTGTTCTATTCTACTTGAAATTTTTGAATACGATTCTTTGCTTCGGTTCGCTCAATTTCGTCAAATTTTACATTGTGTGCATTCCTGTTTCCGAACACACGTTACTGTCGCAACGTTTGCGCTGGCCGCGTATAACATTTTTGAGGAGATTAACGAATTTTGATAAGATTAGCCGCGTGATACGTGATAGAGGAGTGCGCGCCGATGGAGTTTCGTCGAGAGTGGGCACAGTGATGTAACACGACGTAGATAAGATTCACTAGATTCGCCGAGGGCTTAATAAAAATTCAATTAGCGCTCAGGCCGGAGGCGAAATCGAATTCTGACATATCAAACAGGTCGAACTCTAGAATACACGAACGTTATCGTGTTTGTCGAGCAGATAATATTCAACGTTATTTATAGCATATTGGGCAGTCGGAAAGCGGACGGGGTTTTTTTTTAACTATCTCTCGCGGGGAATAAGAGGAAACGTTTATCTTTCGCGAGTTTAATTATTGTGACAATCGAGATTCCCGATAAGTCGCGAGATATCGCGAGGAAAGTTGGCTCGCTAGTGAAAACTCGTTATGTCAATGCACTATTACCGCCGATGAGATCACGAGCAATCTTTATCGCAATATGTAAAGCTACACTGCAAAATACACTCGCTTATCCATACTATAATTATTTCTTCGACGGCGCGGTGGACGTGCTCCAATTTCCTCGAACCAGTTCTTGTCACGGTCGCCGTATGTAATATTCGCGATATGTGTGACGATGTCGATCTAGGAAGTAGTCATTTATATCGTATATTCGCGCGAAGAATTCGATGTTTTTTTTTCCGATCGTCCTTCGCGTTTTTATGCGTAGAACGTCGTAATCTTTCGCTCTCGGTTAAAGTCTATGATATTTTCGTGCTGTTTATCTAGCACAGGGTCTCCTTATCAATCGATTGTCAAATCGGAGTCCCGGTTCACTCGATGTGTGAGTGATCTGCCAAGGTGCGTATCGGTCAAGTGCCTGATTTCGATCGCCTGAAATCGAGTATTTTGTTTCTGGAAATCAAAGAAATTTCTTCGCGCTTTAATTTCCAATAATAATGAAATAAGAAAGGGCAGTCTTAAATTTCACCGTCAAAAACGGAATGTTACAAGTTCAGATATTTAATAAAACCATTTTATTTCAGTTTATATTGTCGCGAAATTAAGTTCTCGAAAAGTTGTATACAGCTAAACAGCCATTAGTAAGAGACGAGTTTTCGTATTAATAAATATTCCAAGCGAGTAAAGATTTAAAAATGTGAAAATACATATCTTCCCAGTAATAAATATCTCGAACACGCTAATGGTTCAAAAAACAACCGGCTGTGTGGATAAAAATAAAGTGCGCGGCTCGCGTGATTTATGTTGTCCAAAAAAAATATTATTCCGATCACGAGATATCTCTCTCTCCGTGAAAAGTAATCGTGCGCTCGTCTTGCGATCGTGTCGAGCGATACGGTTTGATTGATCTGTTCAAATTTAGTTATATCTATGATCGATTGAGTCCGCGATTATCGTTTCGGCGTTTTCGGCGATAAAATTGAGCGACAATCTGCGACATCGGTATTTTTTTCGGTGTGTTTAATTAACGAATTGCTTGGTTCGTCTTCAAGCTTCGAGGAATAAGTTAGATAGAAGTATTCTAATTAATTTAGACAATATCGCTCTTATTAATATTAAATTTTTTTTAATTATAAAAAATATTGAAATAATGAAATATTGAAATAATGAAATAATGAAATAATGAAATATTGAAATATTGAAATAATGAAATAATGAAATAATGAAATAAATTAAAATAACGAAATATTGAATTAAATTACGAATATAACGATTGTTAATATTTAAATTATATGTTACAGTCTAGTTGTATTAGCATATCATTATCCGACGTAACATTATTGTCGAGAAATATATTTGCATAAGAACACACACAAACCTCGCGCGCTGGATAATACATTAATAATAACGACGGGAGAATCTCGATAGCTGGGCAATCAAAATTAATCGGATATGCGTGTCACATTTCGTGCGTTATCAATCTTATCGGTGTATGCTTTTTTATATATATCTTATCTCACATTGTTTCAAGTGCTTTATTTGCTCTGGATAATTTTTGTGCGTTAGCATAAAAGGAAAAAGACAATTTAAAACAATAAGAAATATATTTATAATATTTTGCCGAAAGCGTTATTATCGCCACCATCGTCCTTTTTGCACGCTCAAAGATTTACTATTACTTTTGTGGTTTCGACTGAAAATGAAACCTTGTTAACCGACGCAACCGGTTTCTCGGGGAAAACATTTTTTCTTCGCGAGAGCCGTGAGCGCGCGCGACATTTTTAGTTTTCTCGAGATGCAAAAGTTGCCGCCATCGGCGAAACTTTACGATTGCACGGACGTGAGGTGATTATCTGATATTTCCGAAAATGCGATCCTCGATAAGAGTCCCGGTCGCTGTTCTTCCCCGCGGGGAAGCTCATCACTCCATCTCCCTTGCTCGCGCGTCCCTCTATCTGGATTGGGCGATTGAACCGACCTGTCCTGGTTACGTCATCGACGACCTTGATCGCCTACGAAGCTGATTGATAAATCATTTCGAGCACTTCGATCGCCGATCGTTGATACTCAGTTTGTTCGCTCTGAAGCGCTGATCAAGACCTAATTACCGTAGATCTCACTGATCGATTATCGGAATTCGTCGCGTTGCATTAATTCTTTCGTTGTGGTAAGTCCATTTTTTGTCTGTTTTTCCCGATTTTATTCAATTTTTGACGGATCGAGCAAATCGTGAAAGATCTCGATTAAAATTTTGTTTTTATGCAAGAGAATGGCGTTTTGATGGAGAAAATTTGACCGTAACATCCGTAGAAATCCATTCAAAAAGTTCATACATTGTTCTGAAAGTGTTGCATTTTGTGTAAAATGATAAAATATTACTCAAACTATTTTCTCATTAGATACATGAAAAATTTTTTAAAATAAAAATCTTTTAGTAAAGTTACAGTGAAATAAAAACGAGATCGGAAACGATTGGTCTTTTTTCTATTTTTTATTATCTATTTTTAAAATTATTTCAATGTAGCAAAACGACACTTTGTTTCAATCGCTCGCTAATCCCTCTCGCTTTTTTTCGCGTTTTCACATCCGCTTCGCGAGAGCAAAGAGACAGAGAAAGAGAGCGCAAGACATCTCAAAACAGGCGGCATATTATAGCCTGTACGCGATGAAAGAATCATTGAAGCGTCTCGTGTTTCCAGTCTCGGTATTAATTTACTCGTGCGTGTCTGGCCCGATTCATGACACCGTCGTTCTTCATTTTACGCGACGCGCGAACGATATCGAAAAGTCGGTAAGGATACGCGCACGGCAAACCGAAGCTGCGCGAACGGCGGCCTGTCGACAATGTTACAAAGTTGTTCATTATCCCATGTGATCGTGGTTACACGATCGCGCTTAGAATCCGAGAAAGCCGCGGTGCGACGACAACTTTATTGAAATGACGTATCGAGATTACAAGTGCCGGACGTTGTCCTCGCGTACACGGCGCTTTTCGCCGGAGAGCTCCAACTGATCGATTAATTAATGCAGCCACATGACTTTCGGACGGTGTCTTATTAAGAGCGGCTCCCGCATCTGCGCTCCCGCGACTAGTATAATTAAAGCGCGACTAGCGCGTGTCTGGCGTAACGAGGCCATGTAAATCGCGGAATTATTTATCGCTAATAATGTCGGGAAGGAATTTTCCCAGCGCACGCTGCGCGGATCACGAGGATCACGTTCGTCTAAACGCTCTAATTAAACTTCTTCATTTCGCGTTTGTGTATAATATATCGCGTGTGTCATGGGCGAGCCGGATCGATGCCAAAGGCACTATCGACAACTGTAATTTATCACTCAGAAATCATTTGCACATTGCTAACCGCGTTCGCATAATTCTCAAGTTTCTCCTTAATTATATATTTTAGAATTGGCGATTAGGAACCTATGCGCCCCGTCTGCGTTTCGTAAGCGTGCGAATTTTCGTTCGTTTTTCAGTTTTTGCACTTCTTCATATTTGTTATACACACGTCGTTTTCGAAATGTTTGGATTTTTGTCAAAGTAGTGAAACGGAAAATTGCATTCGGCCGCCACTTACAGCGCGCAAATTTTTAATTGCCAATTAAACAACCTTACATCGAGGGACCGTTTCTATATATCATTATGTTCCTCGAAATTCACTGATTATCGTAGACGTCCCTTCCTATCGCGCGATAGGGAGATTAACGCGGGACAAAGGTCGATCGATCGCGACGATCGCTCGCGTCCGAACGAGAGACGACTATCGAACTAATCCCATGTTATTCGATGTGTGTTTTGCAGGGCGGAGACCAGGAAGAAATCTCGTCTTCGTGATCCTCGGCAAATCAGACCAGGGATTACCTATGATCCCGCTGGGCGTCGCGAGGACGACGGAAAAGGAAGAGAGGCGCTTTTGGCAGCGTTCCTAATCTTCCTCTCTCCTCGCCCGACCTGCCCCCCCGTTCTTTCTCTCTCTCTCTCTCTCTTCCTTTTTCTCTCTATTCCTCGCTTTCCATCCCTCTTTCTCCCCCTCTCCACCATCCGCGCCACCACTTTCTCGTTCCTCTTCGACGAGCGGCTGTGCGACGCATCGTAGATTTCGTCGGACACGATGGACATGAGCAGCGAGTCGAGCACCGCTAGATGGTACGAGCCGCCTAGGCCGTCGTTGGAGCCGTCTTCGGGGGGCGCCGGGGTGGCCGGGGTGGTCGGCAACCCCAGCGACTACAGGGGTTACTACCCCGGACCGGCGGCGCACCACCCCGCGGCACACTACGCCCACAGTAAGTACACACACGACGTCGTTTTCTCCGCTTTTCCTTCTCTCTTTTCTTTTTTCTTCCTTTCAGCCGTCCGCGCCCTCCTCTCTCTCCTCTCCTCTCTCGGTCGTCACGTCTCCCCTTCTGTTTTTCCACCCTGAGAATCTCGCGTCGCGGTTCAACGACCGGCTGCTCGCCGGACGCGTTTCCTTTGAAGAGTCAGCGAGGTCAGGAGAAGCGACGATTCTCTCAATAGAGAGAGAGAGAGAAAGAGGAAGAGAAGAGGGTCTTACCTTTTTCAGCGGCGGATACCGTGCGGCTATTAAGAGGATAATACGTATAATCTTCGAGCTATTTTATGGTCTTATCGATCGAAATTCTCAGCCTTAGTGATTCCGGCGTGCGCGGTGGAAGCCCGCGATTACGGCGATACACAGCTTGTCGCAAAGATTTGCGCTTCGTCACATTTCACGAAATGCGATGCGACACCGCACACATCGACACCGCACACATCGACACCGAAACGCGACGTTAATCCCGCAGAAAAGTTGAAGCGAATATTTCATTAGGCTCTCAAGCGCGTTGAGTAATCTCGTATTATAAAGGACACCCGCTACACCCGTGCCGACTCTTCTCTCGCGTGTTTCGCGACGCGGTTCAACGACCGTCGGACGGTCGCCTCTCTCCGCGCGCCAGCATTTCTCATTAATTAGAATTTCTATATTTAATTAACGAGGCGTCTCCGCGCGAGGCTATCAGCGCCATCGAATGTCTCCCCTGATGCACCGCGCCATTTTGCTTCTCCTCCCCGCCGGCTAGATGTCCGCCGCGATAATTAAATTTCCACCGCGGCTGATAGACGATGTGAGGCACCGCACGCCTCCGGAGAGTGACAACCGTAACGCGCCGTGACGCGTCGCATCGGGACAGTTTCTTAGCGTAGAGCGTAGAGCTAATTCATCTCGAAACCCGAGGTGTGCAGCAGGGCGTACTCGAGGCGCTCTCGAGTGTGCACTTTCGAGCACGCAAAAGTGCGTGTTGTTACGTCCACGTGCTGCTGCTGCCGCCGCCTTCTCCTTGTATTCCGCGAGAGTGTTCCGTTCTAAGCCCGCGCCTGCATCCTCTCGACTCTCGCCTCGGCAAGTGACTTTCCATTTCGAGCAACCCTTACCGCCTCTCTAGCGTGAATGACAGCGAGAAGCGGAGACGACTAGCGAGTAAGTCTCAGAGATAGCGAGAATAAAAGGACGAGCGTAAATGCAGGAAATGTGCGATTAATTCTGTGTAAAAAGGAAATCATCCTGAGGAATAACGATATAGGAAACGATGCTTGACAGTCGGAAGAGGATGGGAAGAAATGATGACGAAGGGAAGAGAATAGACGAAGTAAACAGCCGAGAGGAAATCGCGACGCTCCGAGAGAGATTATATATTCAAATGAAAAAACAAATGCATATACCTACTGTAATCTAATGTTATTTACGCGATGAGAAAAATTAAAATCAAAATAAAACAGTGCGAATAAAATGAAAACATAATGGCTCTGAAGGTGCTTTTAAACTGCAAAAAAAATCAGTTTTGATCAAAAATTATTCTATTTTTTTATTCTTTATGCTAAAACTTACTTTGAAATTTGATGTCGACATTTTTATTTCAAATACCTTGTTTTTATATAATAAAAAATATATTTAAAGAATCGGAATGAAGAGTACAAACGTATTATTGCTATATTTATATTTTACATAAATATATATTTCGATATTTTACGACACATAAAATTAGAAATAGCATTTATTTTGAAATCTGTCGCGAGTTGTGTCTAAAGTGGTTTTAAAGCGAGATTTTCAAATATTTCTCTCGCTCAATGTCCATATGTACTCGGGCATCAAACAAATCGCTCCTCTCCTTCTCTAACTTTATGCTTTCAAGTATCTAATTCCACATGAAAAGGTTTCACGACGTCACGCAGAGAGGAAAAGAGAGTCGTTTCGAGGAGAAGCGCGCTAGGCCGATAGTGTGTACACTCTAGATGCACGTAATCTCGATAGCTCCTTCGGTTCCTCGCCGTTGGCCAAGCATGAAAAAGCGTAGTGTGGAGGACACACGGACGAGAAGAGAAGAAGAACGAGAAGAGACGAGAAAGAGGAAGAAGAAGAAAAGGAGAGGCGAGCATAGCTTGAGACTCTTCGACGCACAGAGGAAAGACCGAAGGGACGGGAAGGCGGGCGAAAGGGGTGGATGACAAGAGGCAGAGGGAAGGGAGAAAGACGTGGACACGGGCGGTGGAAACGAGAGAGAAGGCAAAAGGCCAAAAAGTGCATGAGGAGAGCCGAGGAAGGAAACACGATACAGCCAGATCTCGAGGCCCCGGAAAGGCGATATCTCTGATTTGTGCCGACGAATGCGTGGATCATACTCGGGCCTCTGTTTAGCTCGTGGCTCCCCCCAATCCCCTCCAAAAAACGGTCCTCTTAATCGGAATCAAATCCGATTGCACCGTACGTCGAGAGCGAGACGCGGAAAAAGCAGCGCGGGTGATGAACGTTGCGTGAATTTCTTGCGACTTCTCCGTCGCGGCGCGTTCGGTGATTTCTTTTCCGACGAGAGAAAAAACCCTTCGACCTCGCCTTCACGTCGGTCGGTCGTCTTTGATTGCTGCCGGACTCGACGCGGTCGGAAAACTTAACCTCGCCCATGTGTGTCCTGAGTTTTGACAGCTGCTAATGAGCGCGGCGGAAAAAGGCGCTGACAGCTAATAAATGTCGAATTTGAATGTTTCGAAGCATTCGGTTCTAATTTATGTCACTGTGCTATGGCAGTTTAATTAAAGAATGATAATTGTGTAAAAAGATGTAAGTGTTCTTTAGCTTCGCAAATAATTGCAAGTAATGTACAATCGGATGTGCATTAATGGCATATTGCATTTGCATTCAATAATTACATATTTTTTTTTTTTTTCTAATTATTTTAAAAGTCTATTCTTTACTATAACCGTATTGCATGATTCAATTTGTGAAGAAAACAGAAGGACTATTGAGTCGCGTGTCGCGAAATATCTTTGTGAAATAAATGCGGCTCGAGTATCATAAATGCACCCGATTGTACGAAAGAGAAAGCGGTTTGCCGAGTCGGGATCGCTTGGTTTAGGACTGCTAATAGGACTAGGTCGCGTTTCGATATTCGCGAAGCGCTTTCACGCGTGCCTGACACCGAAGCGCAATACTTCCCTTCGGCGTGCAGGGAGCGAGAAATAGCGGGGGGACGGGGGGGGGAGGTGGAGGAGGAGGAGAGGTGGGACAGCGATGCTGAAAAAGAAATAAACAAGATAGGCGGCGGACGCGCACGAAGAGCGGGATGCATAATACACACAGTGGTTGCGGCCACAGACAGGAAGGAAGCGCAGCCAACCGCGAAGCCCGCGGGGTCCGAGAGAGGTGCATACGTAATTGCGGGGCCACGCGGGAGGCGCTGCTTTTATACGTTAGGTCTTCTTCCCTCCCTCCCTATTCTCCTCTCGTTCTCTCTCTCTCTCTCTCTTTCTCTCCCGTTCTCTCTCTCCCTCTCTCTCTCTCTCTCTCTCTCTCTCTCTCTCTCTCTCTCTCCATCTAGTTCACCGTGGCAGATGCAGCTTCACCGCGATCAATCTTCCTCCTCGTCGCCGCGTTTCGTTCCCTCCGCGGAGCCTCCTCTCACCTCAGACACGGACAGAATGCGCGGTTCCTCCGCTCTTCGGTAGCTCCTCCGCTTGTCCCGGACAAGGCGTACACCATTGCCCTCGCCCCGGGAATTTAATAGCCCTTTTTAAGGCCGATTCTACTAGCGTCGATTAATTCTCCACAATGTTTAACCGATCCTTTTTTTTTAGAGCGTAATATTAAGACAGAGATAAACTGTGACAAGCGAGAACTTGTACTTTGTTCTGCAAAAATAATAGAGATCGCAATTTCAACGAAGAATACGATTCACCGTTGTTCGGAGAATTTAAGAATTTCTTTAGCAATTTTATCGGAGTGTCGATTCGCTCTGGTCGGTATCGAATCGATACTTTCTTTTTAGACCGCAATTAAGATAGTAATAAACCACCGATAAGCAAAAAAATTGTCCACAAATGAGAAGCTTGCGGTTTCCGCGATCAAGCTTTAATTCCCACAGCGAATTCAATTTCGCCCGATAAATTTCCGCTGCCATTCTCTTAGATCGTCCACTTTTCATCCGACTACACTTATTCGAGTGCCTTATACGGCCGAGAGAAAAAAGAAAGAGATCGATAAAACGGCGTAAGGAGAATACGAAATGAAATTGCATGTTATTACGCGAAAGCTGCTGGGGGCGCTCGACGTTGAAATGAGATGTTATTTTCTGCAAGGAATTTCGTGCGCGTATATGCGGGATTATATTATAAGGGCGAGCGAGCTCCCGCTGCAAAGGGGCGGTTCTCTACCCGTGGGATACTTTTCGGGCTCAACGGGGTCTGGGCGATCTGAAGAACAGTGCCCGGTTCGCGCGCCTCGAATCTCCTACTGAAAATTATTCGCGCGACAATCGTTAACGGCAACGGGAAAAACCTATTCCGAGAGGCTTGCGTGTCGCTGTGACGATAATTGGCCCGCGCGACTCGCGAGAATGACGGCCGCCATCGAGGAATCTCACTGTTCCAACGGAATTCAGTGGAGCGACTCTTCGTTCTTGTCATGTTTTCCGCGATAACGATATTCATCGCGCGCATATTCTCATGCGCGATTAATGCGGCTGCTACGTAAAAGGAGACGCGTGTTCGCGCGCGGCGGATGTTTTTTCAAGTGATGCGATACTTTACGCATATTGTTGTCTGATTAGCGATACTAATTGGAGCTTTGAGAAAGGCTCGCGTTTCAGAGAAAAATTATGACTCTGCTCGTGTCGAGATTTCTCGATCATCATTTTTACCCTGTTTCCTCCGAAGTTTTCTCTTTTTTTTTTAATTTTGCGGTAATTAAAAGCGATATCGCGCCCGCGTTCGATCCGCTCTGAGAAAGCACGATAAC